TATGTATGTTAACCGTAAACACCAGCATACATGTATATGGAAGGATCTACCCAATATCAAGTCTCCCAGATTTATGTAGATGGGAACAGATTGTCCATTTTTTTGTGCATTTGCTATGGGAAACACTGCTTTAACTTTGGTGTACATAAAGCAAACTTGTTTGTTGCTTAAAACCCAAAGTTGCACTTAGAGAACAACTAACTTACTGTGAAAGGAGCTTCCAACAGGTACCAGTCCTCTTCTACACACAGACTGAGAAGGTTTTAAGAATACATATACGTTTCCCAAACACCACCCCAGTATAAGTACACTGGAGAATAAATCAAATTAACATGGTAACAACAAACCACCCGGGCAATAAGGTCAGCTGGTGGGCTCCTGCTTTATATAAATAAATGTTAACTTGGGCAGATCATGAGAGGGAGGGCAGGAAGGGTTGCATCAGTGCTTCATTCTTGTGGCCCTTTCTTATATGCCCAGGGAAATGCTGATCACCACTTTGGGGTCAGGAAGCAATTTTTCTCCAGGCCAGTTTGGCCGGGGATCCTGTAGGTTTTCTGTCATTTACTGGGCATAGAACAGGGGTCACTGGGGGTGTGGAGGGGTATTTGTGAATTTCCTGCATTGTGCAGGGGGGTGGAACAGATGACCCTGGAGGTCCCTTCCAACTCTATGATTTTATATGTTATCACTGTCAGAGGTTCAATGGGTGGCAACATACAATAGGGCCTTTTTTGGTGGTGGTATCAACAAGATTATGAAGTACCCTCCCACATGAGGCATGGGTGGCACCTTCTTTGGTACACATAAAGACAGCAATAAAACTTAACTCTTTCACAGAGCTTTTAATTTGGCTTTGGCTGCTCTGTGAGACTTGAAATTTATGTCTGATTGCTCCTTTGTAATTACTGTTGTGGACTCCTTTACTGCTACGCCATTGTTTATGGATGTTGACTCTTGGTTTGGTTTGGGTTGTTTCACCATATATTGGCTTTGGTACTGCTGAAAATATCTACTGCCTGAAGTATTTCTGTTTGTAGAGAGCAATTTTCTCATCTGCTCCTTCCCATTGCTGCTCAAATTGCCCCTCATGCTGCTCCAGGGGGCAGTGACTCCTCAGGAATAGCATGAAGGGAGTACTAGAGGTCCACTGTGGGAAAGGGGTTGTCATGATCTGTGTAGGACTGGGAGACAAGGCCTAGTGAGGCCTAGGCCCAGGAGACCCGTGTGGGAGTGGAAAGCAGACACAGTCTACAATCCCCACAATGCTTGGCACTGGTTGTAACCAATCGGTGTCCAGAGATTGTATGAGGGATTGTTACTTAAACTTAGTGGGCTGTGGAACTGCATTCTTTTCTCTCACAGAGTTAAGCTGTGAGGATAGTCTGGTCTGAGAGAAAGATCCCTCACTTGGGACAGAGTGAGTACAGGCACAGGCCTGGTATAAAAGGCTGTGGGCCTTGAATAATTACCAGTTAAGAGAAATAGGTAGCCACATTAGATTTGTTTTATTTACCTTTAGACACTGTTATATATTAAGCACCTTGTCTTGTTTTTTCTTGCCCCATTACTGTATTAATAAACCATGTTAATGTTCTCTGCCCGGTCATCACGCCTATATTTCTCGGCTTAAAGGGGGCATTTTGGGCTGGGCTTGGGAGGGTACTCTGGGCCTTCCCAAGGGACCCTAAGTCCAGAGTGGTGGCAAAGGAAGGTGACAAGCCATTGGGGTAGCATGACAGGGGTGAACCCCCCCCCATTCTGTCTACAGAAATACTTCATGGAATGTGACACATTGTAGTTTTATTGTTTATGATTTTTATATTCTGTAAGCTACCTTGAAGAAACTACATGCTCAAAGAGGTATAAAAGTATTTGAATATATAAATATATGCTTCTAGTGTGCTGAATATGAACATTAACAACCAAAGCATCCACAATAGCATAAAACCTGACCACAACACATAGTCAAGTAGGAAGCCAATAACTTTCATAGAGAGGAAACAATCTTAAAATTCAATGGCTCGATCAATTGTGTTATTTTTTCACAAAGGAAGACTGAGATTTTTTGAAAAGGATGTTTACAAATCAAATCTGTCCAAATTACCCCTTTTCAGGCAACCCCCCCCCCCAAAAAAAACCTATCTAGATACCCAACTAAACATGTACCAGCTCCTCATAGGGCTTCATTTTTATCCAGCAGAAACGTCACCACCCAAATTCTGCCTTCACCGAAAGAAATACTTTAATTTGCCCCTTTTACTTTGATCCCTATTAATCAGCTATTGTGCTTTGCCCAGCTGACTAGCACTGGCCGATTCTGCATCTAGAATTCGCTCCGCATTTTGTCAAATGGGAGGAAAAAGTGCAGCTCAAAACCACATTCAGATACCTTGGGGCAATGCCGTACTGACTGCAAAGCCACCCCAGAATGGCCATAAATCTATGCAGAAGGTACCATAAAACCCGAAGATCAAAGAAAGCAAAAGCAGCATGCAGTGTGGAGGATACCATAAAATCCAATGATCAAAGGAAATGAAAGCAGCATGCAATGCAGGGGGAATTTCTGTTCTAATGTGGTTCACGGAGGGAAAAGCCAATACAGAATTGCCCACTGTCAAGGCTGAACAAAGCCATAAGGAGACTCTCCTCTGACAGCTAACAACTGATAACACCGGGACCCCCAAATCAAATGCCCAGTTAACTGGCAAAAATGAATGTCCCAGGATCCATGCACATGAATCAGAATTACTATACTGCATAAGCTAGTTGCGCTTATGTCACCTATTACATCTGTAAAGAGGAAGGGAGGCACTTGCTATTGTGAATAGCTCCTATTTTTTCCCATTAAGATTTTTTTTATTGTTTTCCACATAAGGTAAATATAACTCAACCCCTGGAATGTTACCATCCACCCTCCCCCCAACCTTCTTTCCCAACACACCCCATCAATAAGAAAACCAAGTATAAGCTGCACACATTCAGGCAGCTAAGAGTAGAGAATAAGAAAAGAGAGACAGTAAGAAGGGGGGGGAGAGAAAGTGAGAGGCAGCAATATGGATCCAGCTGAAGAAGGAGTGGAGAAGGTGAGGCATAACTGCTCAAAGAGATACAGAAAATCTTGCCAGATGGCAGTGAAGGTCCCCGGAGCTTCTCATCTGTTATACCGAATTCTCTCCCTTGTACAGAGATCTAACATATCTTTGGTCCAATCATACACAGAGGGAGGAATACAAGATTTTCAGAGCTGCAAGATAATTCACTTGGCAACCAAGGCTGCCCTTTGAATCCATAGCACTTGATGTTTGGGGAGTGTCCGCAGAGACGGTTATACAGCCTAGGACTAGATTATTAGCTGTGAGGTATAGTTTGGTAGATAATGCGAGGATGATTTGAGCTGTAACATCTTGCCAGAAACATGTAATATTAAGGGCACTCCCAGCTTCTATTGACTTTACAATACATAATAATTTTATAAATACAGGAGTGCAAAGTTGTTACTTGTTTCCAGTGGAAAGTGGGACTCTAAATGCACTCTTCACCTTTCAAAATCGACTCACCCATTAGGCATAGCATGTACAAAAGCAATATTCCCTGGATCTCATCAGCCAGCACTTCGACTTGCAGCAGCCTAGAACTGTTGCCTAAGAAATGTTAGGCAGAGAGGGATGCTGCCGGTGCACTACCAGCCAGACTGGGGCAAAGGAAGCAACTGTACAGAGACCAGCTAAGAAAGTAGGCCCCAACCCCTGTAATGGCTTCCATGTCGGATCTTTCTGCTGCTCTAAGCAACCAGAAGACTCTCTCTGGCCAGCTGCAGAAGACCTTCAATTTGCTCCTCCACTGCCTTTGCCTTGTCCCAGGCTCAGTGTACAAGAGCTGGATCTGACAGATCTTTGCCATTTGAACATTTAACACTCATTTTCATATTCAGTACTTTAGTGTTCTAGACCACAAGAGTCCTGCTAAAAGGCAGAACAGCTTGTTCATAATGCCACTGCAATGAAAAGTTTGTTTGACTTGCAAATCAAACCAGTTGTGGGGTTTTTTCCCTGGTCTCAGCACTGAAACTCAACTGGGAAGAACAAACAAGAACTCATGTAGAATTGTAACATCCAGTAATTAACGGCATGCTTAACATTGGCACAAGCTATCTCAGTTTGTGAAACTTCTTTTGTACAATCCGTCACTTTACCCATGGTGCAGCCTGAGAAAATGAGAAGTGCATTAATTAATACTTCATAGCCAACACACTGAGATCTGTAACATAGCAATCTGATCGGTTTTGTTTACTGAAGATCTAAGCATACAGGGAACACTCCAGGAGATTCCACTTATGGATGAAAGCCACTATATAGCTATGTGATGCCAACCAAAGGAGCAATGGCCTTAGTTAGATTCTAAGAGACAGGAGCCAAGATCCAAGTCTGCGTAGAAGCAAAACCCTGTGATATGAAACCTCTGCAATCTAATGTAAGATATCTACAACTGGCACAACTACATCCAGCTAGCTTTAAAATGTCAGTTGACCAAGGGACTGGACTAGATGGCTTGTAAGACCCCCTTCCAACTCTAGGATTCTTTGTTTTGATAAGGGTAGGGGGTAAGAGAAATCAGCTCTGTGCTCCTATTCTTATTATACTTTCTAATACATTTAAACTCTGAAGAACTCATGAAATGAACTGATAACTGTCAGATAAATTCTTTATTCTCACGACCTGTCTGCAAGTTTCTGCTCCTTTGGAGTTAAATTACAGATCAAGATAATAAAGCAAAACATAAGCAAACAACGCCGCCTCCCCTCACTGAAGTTAAATTGTTCTGTTAAATGTAAAAATCAACATTAACCATACTTTTATGGAGATAAAAGTTTTCAGAAGAGCTATAACATTTAAAAAGAACCACTGCATATGAGACCATAATAAAGGGGAAAACTAAAACTTCATTCTAACTTTAACTTTTCAATCATGAAGTCAAACAGGTGCTGGTAGAACTCTAACCTGGAGGAGTGCAGGTATCAGCAGGAGACTGCACAAATGTGGATCGTCTTTTGGTTGGCATGGGCAGGGCCATCTTCTGTTCCTTGTGCTTTGCCAATGCTGCTTGTACTGCCTCTGTATGGATGTCTAACAAATGGAAATAAGGAAAGCACATCAAAACTGCAGCTGTTAGGAGGATTAAAAAGCACAACAACGAGGCCTCAATTTTGTTACCCTTCTATAGCTATTATTACAAATGCTGGGCATAGAGCAACTGAGAAACAACGGTACTAGGTGTGTTTACAAATGCCATAAACTGGCCACAGATGTACCACACCCCAGACTCCAAGCTGCTCCTCTGCCGTTGTTTTTTTTAAGGCATATCCTTCTCATAATGTCAGCCTTTGAAAGCCTTCTGAACATGGGTTCTGGCCTGCTTCAGTTTTGTCAGCAGCATGCACAAGTTTGAACAGAGCGATCCCGAAGGGCAGTTTCAGCGATCTGACAGGGACTAGGGGAATGAGCTTGCAGGAGGTCAGGCAAAAACACACACTTCATGCCCTAAGTGCCACCTACTGAACATGACTCATCTGGACAGACATAATAGCTCAATGCCACAAATGAAACAAACACAACATGATTCATTCAACTCAATCACTTCTTTCTCTGGAGCATAATAAGAGGGAACATATGGTGGCAGGAGGTTATCTTACCATGGAAAAATAAGATGGGAAAATGCTCCTATGGAGAGCACCATTTATGGCTGAAAATGAATTTTCCTGCAGGGTCAAACCAGCTGATGACTTCCTATCCCCCACTTCATTTGAAAAAAATGAAGAAAAACTAATTAAAATTCAAAATGGAAAATGTAAGTGACAATGACTGACTGTGAACATGTAGAATTCTGTGTGCCAGGAAGGGAAAGCAAGAGCATCACAGAAAGCCACCTGAAAAGCAAAGATGAATCACACAAACGAGCTGAGCCACAGAACAGTAGAAAATTCCTTTCCAATGTCCAGCACACTCACCATTTAGACTGTGAGTTTAAGCAGAATCCACCTACCAATCTTTCCCAAGGAAAAACCTGGACACATCTCCACAATAATTAACACCCTACATGAAGCCATAGCACCCCCTAATGTATAAGCTCTCCCTGAATCTCGAACTTCTTTATATTTTAAGCACTGCTAGCTGGATGCTTTGTATAAAGAGGTCAAAAACTTACTTGCAGCAAGAATGAAGCAGCTATAGAAAGCATGAAGCCCCCCCCCCACTTACAGTTAATCCCACAGGTCCAGCAACTTAACAATTTTTTTATTTTATTTTATTAGAGGACAGCAAGAGGACAGCACATTTTTGAGTGAAGAATGACCAGCATAGGGGGGGGGGCATGTTCATAAACTCTTCTCCTGAGCCCTTTGCTGGCTTGGCTTCTACCAGCAGTGGGGATCCGGGCATAGATTCATGTAGTTGGTTATTTAGAAACAAAAGAATGTCTTTGACAAAATACAAAAATGCCTCCTCAAATCTGGAAACTCAGTGTGGTTTCTTCCACTGCTGGGCCTCCTGTAAGGAAGGCAGATGGAACATTCCACTCTGCCAAGATGTACTTTCTGTCTGTGCAAGAATGAACACCGGGAGTACATGCCTATCTCCCCCCATCCCCGTTTCACACAAGATCCTGAAATAACAATGGAAGGAGAGCGAGTCAGTTTTGGTGAATGGTCAAAACCATTCATAGGCCTTCTGCTTATTGCCTTGTGGAGCACTGAGTCAGATCAAAACCTTATAAAAGCTGCACACAGAAATTTCCTTAATTGAAAATTGCTGTTACCAAGCATCATTCCATAAAAGAGGAAACTGACCCAAAAAAGAAAGTCCTAAGATTTTGTAAAAAGCAAAGGAGGCATACCTGATCTAATAAAATGAAGTCTGAGGTGTTACATGGGCCCCGGTCACACGGGCCGGATATTGCGGGGGGGGGGGGCATGGCTGTTTGCCCCGGGGCAAAATAATGCGCGGTTGCGCGAGCAGACGTCCCGTGGAGGTTCCGTGGAGGTCCCATGGATAGGGGGGAGGTGCCAATCACAGGACAATCCTGCAGCGCGGCAAAGAAGAGGTGCGGTGCGGCAAATGGGTTTGTTTTTTTCTGTACACCAAAGTATGCGCATGCTCCATTGGGTGCTTGCGCGCATCCATGGAGACTTGGGGGGGGAACCTTTTTGCAAGGGGACATGAGCGGGCGCTGGATGCCACCGGAAACGCGATCAGATGCCCGCCCTCGCCCCGCGGTTATCGGAAACTAGTACCTCGGAGGTACTAGTTTTTTTACCCCGCATCTTTGGGGGGAAGCCTCGGGTGAGCCACGGGAGCTCTACGCTTCCCAGATGTGGCGGTGAGATCGCACCCGGAAAATCCGCCTATCTTCCATTCCCAAAGTGGAAGACATGCAACAACGCACAATTGTATTTACATGCAGTAACACACATGGTGAGTTTCTCGCACCCAAACCAAATGTATTAGACCAGGTGTCCTCAACTTTTTTGAGCCTGTCAGCACCTTTGGAATTTGGCGGGCACAGCCACAAAATGGCTGCCACAGAAGGCGAAGCCAGCCATACAATGGCTGCAGCGGCTAATCTTTAGTCACATAGCCAAGGTCCTTTTTTAAAAAAAATAGACAATTTTTACAAAATTTATCTCATCACAGTGTAATAAAAAAGCTACAATAAAAATAAGCTAAATAAACTGAGAGAAGGGGGAGATTTCAACACAGGACGTAATGGGGCTTTATCCAACAAACTGGCATCTGCAATTGGATCCATCTCGGATTATTTCTTCAATGTGAATCTTGTAGAGAAATAATTTAGAAAACAATTTAGAAAACAGTGAAGATCCTCGTGCTGTTGTGGCAGCTGCTGCCAAAACAGCATTAAAAAAAAACTGCACAGTCAATCAAATGTCCCAAAACCCATCAGGAACCTTGCAGGCCAAAAGCCCCAACTGGCCCCACTCACTTTCTAAAGCCACTTGGGTATTGGAAAGGCATCTGTGGGTGCCCTGGCACCTGTGGGCATCATGCTGGGGACACCTGTGGTAGGCTCTGCACCACACATACCTGTGATAGTAGCTCTTCTAAAAGCTTTATTTTATAAAAGCACCTGCACAGACTTTAAAAAAAAGAGGAAGCCCTTGTAAAACCTCCTTCTCTCTTGGAACCTGCAGCTCAAAAATGGATAGCATCAAAGATCTGACTTTGTTGCAATGCTTGGAATGCGGAGCACAGACCCTAGTTCAAATCCCAAATGTAAGGGAGAGATGAAATTACTGTCAAAAGGAAGGACTGGATAGCAACAAGCTGAACAGAACTCCAATCAGATGATGAAAACACCGAAGGCAGGACTGAAGGAGGTGAGAGGTGAGCAGGCACATATGCACACACATACCCCAGCTTCTTCTGTATATTATTTAGTCATGCCTATGAAGATGCGTTTGGCTGGAAGACTTTTAGAGCAGTATTTATTGTTTATTTGATCTGCCTGTTCACCAAAGAGCTCAGGAACCTTTCTCCGTTTTATACTTACACCCAACATGTGAAGTTAGTTAGACTGAGTGAGTCAGTGTGGCCAGCCCAAGGTCAGCCAGTAAGCTTCGAAGAAAAAGTGAGGCTCTGAAATCAGGTCTCCCTAGTTCTAGGCAAACATTCTAACTCCTGTGTCACACTGGCTCTCATCTGCCCAAGAAGCCTGGAACAGAAAGTATACAGGCCTTTCCTACAACAACAGCAGCAAAAAATACGGTGCTTGCCAAATATGGAGCATCCTTACCAGACCGATAGCGTTCATCTCTGGCTCCCCCAGAGCGTGCCCGGTGATACTTGGAGGAGGATGTTGCTGGAGCTGCAGACGGAGCAGGTGTCTGATTGCGTGGTTCCTTTTGCAAACCTGGATCAACCCCTGCGGGAAAATGTAAAAAGTATATATGTATAAATATACAATTTTTAAAAATCCAAGAAAAATAAGGAGGACCTCTTTTGGCCAGTGACAAGGATTTCTACTGGCCTCTGCTAACGGCCCATGGCTCCAACCTGGATTGCCCGAGCCAGCCTGATCTCATCAGATCTCAGAAGCCCTGGTTAGTTTTTGGATGGGAGACTACCAAGGAAGACTACAGTTGTTATGCGGAGCCCGACAATGGCAAACCACCTCTGAACATCTCTTGCCTTGAACACCTCTCTGCAACTTGACAGCATGTTTCACCACCAATTACCCAAGTAATAACAAGGGACCTCTGACTGTTACACACTGAATTTGGAAACAGACAGCCACCTAAATCCTTCAGGCCAAACCTTGCACAAGTGGGGCCTATCTGCAGCATTTCCTTCCACAATGGCTTTTAAAACAGTTGAATACAAGGACAGCTACAGGATGTCCGCAGCATGGATAAGAGAAAATGCCCCGGATGCCCTGCCCAAGATGTGTTATAGCGCCACCCAGCAACCTAAAAATTAGTTGCTGCCACACAGGAATGCACAATATATTTTTAATGATGAAAACTGTTTTTTTTAAAAACAATAACCTTTATTCTTTATAAACCAAGCAAGAACATTAATAAACAATTTAATAGACAATTATAATAAACAATTTTAACTGCAGCAACAATAAATGCAAAGCCATATCCCAGTACAGATACACAAAAACTCAAAGTTAATAATGTCTTTAAGAGTACTAGAGAGTAAATGCATCTACCAGCAAAAAGGTATCCGACTATTTCCCTTCAGAGACCATATAGTTTAGGTACAGCCATCATATTTCCACAAAACCTGAACGGTCCTCCTCGGATTTTATACAACTGTTAATATGATAAGCTATCTTCTCCATAATATAAATATTCCATAGTTTATCAAACCACAGGTCAATTGTCGGTGGATGTTTAGCCTTCCATTGAGAGGCTATAGCCATTCTAGCTGCCGCTAAGAAAAATTCTGTAAGCCTCAATGCAGACCATGGTATACCAAGCCCTAACCCTATATTAAGTAATAACACCTCTGGACAATGCTGTAATCTGTGACCTGTAATCACAAAAATATGAACCCCAAATTGACACCAAAAAGCTGGAATGTAAGTGCATGACCACCGACAATATTTTTGAATGCACAGCAAGGACAGCTAACTGGCAGTAGTGCCACAACATGATGGCCCCTGTACCCATGCTGCAGAAAGTAAGCATACACAGTAGCCACAAGGCTCAATGTGGAGAAGGAGATAAAGAGAGAGCTGAAAAAGAAGCTGAAGCTAGCCTCTGACTGGCTTTTTAGGAAAATGTTTGATACAAGGATTCGCTTCCACAGAACTGCTGACTATGTGCATACCTATATACTTGCAGGCACCATGAATTCCACCAGTAACACACAGAAAACTGATTCGCTCATGAGTTACACTCATAACATCACCCCTAACAGCAGAATAACATGCAACACAAAGGACACAGTTATGGAAAGCCTGTACTGTTCTGCTGGTGGAACCGTACACAAACCAGCTCGCGAACTGATGAACTGCAGTACAAGAACAGCAAAACTATTTCAGCAGCATCCCTCCATCTTTAAAGGCTGGAAGGGGCAACTTGGATAATCCTGCAATCCTATCCCAAGACACAGAACTATAGGGGGTTCCTATTTTCTTTTAAAAGGAGAGAGGGTATTGGTGGTAGAGGTTAGAGAAAAGGTGAGCAGTTGAGAAGGTTGATGATTGGAGGAGCAGACAAAAAGAAGCAATTGGTGCCGAGGAAAAATGCACAGCCTTTACAGAAATATTTGCAGCAAGGGTTTTAAGTTGATTCCTGCATATAGATTTGCCAGTATATAAGATGCCTGCAAACTCATGTTCCCAGAAAAGCATGGACAGGGGAAGACAAATATACCCAGAGAAGCATTTGCTCTCTCATTTACTTCCAGCAGTCTCCCTTTTATAAAGAATTTTGAGTCAAGTAAGAGTCTTTTCAAAGCATGCCAAATACTTCCTAATGTTCTTTGACATTATCATCTTTGTAAGACTGCAGGGCTAAAGTGTTCAACTATAACAAAATGTAAATTATGCAGTTTTAAAAATAATAGTGCAGCCTTGGCCAGATATTTACTACTTTAAAAACCACTAACATTTTGAATAAACCACTACACCCAATGCTACCTTAGATTTTATCATGTGATAGATGGGCAGGGGAGGCTGGACACAGATTCTGTAATAAACAAAAAACTGTTCTGATTGCACAAACCTTCTCCGATAGAGAAACAAGACACACAGCATGCCTGCAAATCAAATTAAACTTTATAACAAGGAAAACAACAAACTAATAGTGTACACATTATATCACACTAATTATGGGCAAAATTAGTCACATTTAAATAATAACTATATCTCTGAAAATTTTGTATATGTATTCAGTATATGTATTTATTATTTATTTATTTATCTGATTTATACCCCACCCTCCCCGCTTTACAGCAGGCTCAGAACGGCTTACAATGATAAATATGGTACAGTTAAAATCACATAAAATCATCTAAAACAATTCAACAGTAAACAATCATAATTTATCAAGTGCTGCTGCATAATAAATAGTTAGCTGTTATAAAATGGCATTCTTAAGAGTGTACACAGATCTCTGTATACACAGGAATCATTTTAAAATCTTCATACAAATATTTTGAGTGAGTATAACTTTGTCTCACTGCAAAAGAAAAGTATTTTACAGGCGTTTCCCTTCCCCACAGCATCCTTTACTTTTCCATTAGAAACACTGGAGGGAGCCCAAGAAGGAGGGGGGGGGCAGAGCAGGTGGAGACACAGTTTTTCCAGACCTCTGTATCCCTAACCTTATCTGCTATTATTGATCTTTACAGTAAGGAATTCCTTTTAAAAAACCTTCAAAGGACTACTGAGAAACTCTCTCAAAACAGTCAGTCAGTCTCTGACTTAAGTGAACCAACTCACAGTAGGCCCAACATCCCCCAGGATAGATTCAGGTGGGTAGTCGTGTTGGTTTGAAGCAGCAGAACAAAGTTTGAGTGCAGTGGACCCCAACTTTGTTCCGCAGCACGCCTGCCTTCCTTGGAGATGGCAAAAGAAACAAAGGTACCAAACCACTTAGTTCTCTCAAAATTTAATGATTACTTGTAAAAACAAGATTTTTTAAAAAGGCCGTGCTTGATCATTACCAAAGATATATAACTGATCACAGAATTACCACTGGCAGCTTCACATACTCAGGAGGGATCCAGCTGCCTTTTAGCAGAAGGTGCTGGTGACTGTGGATCTTTTCTGTGAACCCTCCCCCAAGAAGTCCTTTCTGACCCGAAGGAAGTGTATCCATGGGGTTCTGGGACCTGTACGGACTGACAGCCATGCCTGTTTTGAGAATGCAGTGGGAGAGGGGAGGCGAAATCGCCTTGCCTCTTCTGTCAGTGCAGCTCCACTGATGGAAGAAATAAAGAGGTGCGATTTTGTGTGTGTGTCCCCAAAATCCTCATTGAAGTCTGTTGGTCTCGGTGGTCAGAAAGGACTGCTGGAAGGAGATGAATGCAGGAAAGATCTGTGATCTCTTGAACCTGCAAGTGGCTGGATCCAACCCATAAACTACAGTAATGTGACCCACTGCACTTTATAACTCCTCTTCTCCCAGCTAGAAGAGGAATGTACCTAGGTTTCGTGCTTTTTAAAAACGCCCTTGAAATTCTCAGATACACCAAACCAGACAACTCAGAATTAAAGTACAGCTTCTTTTCCCACAGACCTGCTTGGGGCTTGAATTTCAGTTTGATCTCCTCCCCTTTCCCCAGCAAAATCCTACCACATGCATGCTACATTCTTCAGAATTCCTTCCAACAGTATAAAAGCAAATTAGAATGAAGTCATGCAAAGACTGTTCATTTTATATATGTTACTGAATCATAATGTTTTGAGAACAAAGAAGCAAGCCCCCTCTAAGGACAAAAAAAGCAAACCTTCACCTTTACTAATATAAAGAATCAGGTATTTGCAGTATGTCATGGTGTTCTAATACTAAAAATGGCCCTTCAGAGAGAGGAAAGCAAAAAGAAGGGCTAGGTGCACTCCACGCTTTTTCATGAAGTAACAGAAGATTTGTCTCACTTACCATGAATCTTCCTTCTCGGTGGTCCATGGGTGGGGTATTCTAGGAGGAGCTCCTCCCTACAGGCAGGCAGGGTTGCTAATTTTTGTGCGATTCCTGGAGGCGACGGGCCTTTCTCTCAGATCCCAGTCTGGTTCCAAAGCAGCGTAACTCCCTCTCCCAAACATTTATATAAAAACCAAGAAAGAATCTCCAACTAACAGTTGAGAAAAAACAGCATAACGGAACAACTCCCAGAGAAACCTCACCAGGTAAGAAAAAACAGCATAACTGTGTGGAAACACAAACATAACGAAGGAACAACTCCCAGAGAAACCTCACCAGGGAGAGGAAGGACAGAAGGAGGGTGAGGAAGCCCAAGTCCAGACAGCACACCTACTCTGTTCCAAGAGCTGGCTCAAGAATTCTATTCTTGGGTGGGGAGAGACTGCCCCACCCCTGGACCACCAAGAAGGAAGATTCAGGTGGGGCAGTCTCAAATTCTGGGACACAGAAAAGCAGTCTGCCCCAGGGAGGATAGAGACTCGTCTCTTAGACTGAGAAGGCATGCTGTAGGATCCTTCTTCTGAAGGCAGGCTCTGCAGAGGATAATTTATCAATCCTTTAAGTGCCTGGAGGAGGAGTGGACGGACCTCTAGGTGGCAGCCTTACGCATGACTTCCAAGGAAGCAAAGGATCTGTAGGCTGCAGAGATTGCCGCCTCTCTGAGGGTGCATGCGCCGTGACACCCAGAGGAGGGTCTGGACGAGAAGGATACAGTCTCTAACCAGTGTTCCCTCTGAGCTGAGTTAGTGTGAGCTAGCTCACA